AAAAAACACACAAAGTGACGTCACATTTGAATTTGTAAAAATATTTCCCAAAAATAAGATAGGATTAGGATTGATTCAAAATTATGAGACCTCGATGCTCTTTAACTTCGCACTCTATTTGGCTTATTTTACCTATTTGATTCGAACGTCACTGATGAGTCTGTTGTGAACGGAACACGCTACTGACGTATACAATTTTAAGCATGGTATCTATGATGATTGTATTTGATAAGGATGATGGTAAAAGCGGTGGATTAATAACAATATAGATGGGATATGAATCGGCAAAAGAAATATAAGCATCAAGTCATGATAAATAGCGGTTGTTAAATTAAAAAAAAGCTGTACTTTTTATTCTGAAAAATAGGCACAATATTGTTCCTTTCATTGCTTTTTATGACGTTGTTGTATGACATCTTCTACAAAACACATCTACCGAAATCAAAGTGTAAGAATGGCATGATTTCATATCAACCAGTTTAAGTACTTTGAGCTTGGCTACAGTATCTTCGAGCATAATGATAGGTTATTTTTATTTTCCAAATGGTTATCTATAGCTAAGGGATTTCACTACGAACGGAAATATTGGGTTTATGTTAAAGATCATGCATACAGTAAGGAAAAATCCGCATACGTATCGATTATATTGTTTCATTCTCATCAGATTTGTTGTTTGTGTTTTTTTTTTGTTTTTTTTTTTGGGGGGGGGGGGGGGGAGGGTCTTTTGCAAATTCGATATCTTTAATTGCGTTTAGGGTTTTCCCACATATTTCTACTTACCCTTTTTGTTTATGTCTAAACAAATCTTCTTTTTCCCCGCAAAAACTAATTGTTAGTAAATTTAAAAACAAAATACACATGATTCTGAATTTTTCAAACAATTCAGGGCTATAACTTCTGACAAACTCCAAAATTCAATTGGTTAGTAGTCAAATCAACTCCATTTGAATTACAAACTCATTTGACGATACACCCTCTATACTGTTTAATAATAGTATCGATTTTTTGGGATGTTTTATGAATGAAATACTACACAACCTATCTTATGAATGAAATGACGTACAAGGATGCATTATCTTCAAGCTTCAAAGGATAATATTTGAATTAAGTTGTTAACGATTTAAGTCCTATTTTTCTATCAAAAAAGAAATGATGTGACTATCAAATTACTTTATAATACCGGTAACGATGATACGTTATATATACAAAGAACTAAAGTTAACAGTTGTATCTTCGTGACTATCATTCACACCTAGTTATATTTGGTCCAGAAATAAAAATAAACAATTTAAGATCGTCCAAGCTGTCGTCAGTTGAGTTTCAAAACGTTTGGTATTTGCTTAACTTAAATTTAGAAACGAGTTTCTTACCAACTGCCGAAGCTAGAACATTTACTTTCTGAACTTTCCAACTGTCCATGATTACCGACGTTGGGTTGCTGTCTCATTGATGTATACCACAGATCTCCATTTAGTTATACCATAGGCTTGGACAGAAGATACCAAGGGTTCAATAAAAAACAGTCGAAGAAAATCAGACAACACCATTGCCAAATTAAAAGGATGAAAAGACACACATGGTCAACAAAACGAAAACAAGAAAACTGAAGATTGGACACGAAGTCTTTTTACTCTAGTAGTCAGTATTGTCTTCACTAGTGTACCCTCGTGTGAACAAATCGATGATAAGTTGACATGGTCATACTAGGTAATATGTTACATCTTTACTTTTACATAACTGCTACTTTCAAGTATTGAAAACGCCCCTAAAGATTATAATTCAGTTTTATTACTTCTAAATTGCGAATCAAAAAGTGTAAGCGTACGCATTTGCAAATATTACCCAGGTTGCATGATTCTGAAACGGCGTTTTTCACGCATCGTTGTCAATATAATGGAATTTGATGCGACTGTCATACAAGTGAGAGGTTTAGCTAGCTATAAAACCAGGTTCAATCCACCAGGAAAATGCCTGTACCAAGTCAGGAATATGACAGTTGTTGTCCATTCGTTTGATGTGTTTGAACTTTTGATTTTGCCATTTGATTGGGGACTTTCCTTTTTGAATTTTCCTCGGAGTTCAGAATTTTTGTGATTTTACTTTCTACTAAAAACTGACTATGTGGCATTGGTTTTACTCATTGTTGAAGGCCGTACAGTGACCTTTAGTTGTTAATGTCTGTTCATTTGGTCTCCTGTGTTGTCTCATCGGAAATTATACCACATCTTCTATTTTTTTATCTATACATGTACACAGATTTGTACTATATTGTTAAAGTTCTTATAGTATAGATAGTTAAAATGCCGTTTCAGAATCATGCAACCTGGATAATATTTGCAAATGCGTACGCTTACACTTTTTGATTCGCAAACCCGCATCCAAAACAACTAAAATTCAACCAATGGCGTGACGTTATTTCCCTTTTGGGATACAAGCAATGAGATTCACCATTCTAAAACGGTGAATAGGGTTTTCAGAAATCTTTCGATATTTACTTTAACTCATTGTACAGTCCATTGTTTGTACTTTTTGGTTCAAACATTTATTGCTTATTTCTAAACTAGTTATCAATTATTTTTTCTTGATGTATCAAAATACTTTCACAACTGCAACATGTAACCCAAAACCTCTTTGATTATATAGAAACATCTTTTTGTGTTTGATCCTTTGAGAGAAACAAGTACAGGGGAAATTAGTTCGACTACATAATTTTGAAAACATTAAGTACTTCTGACCTTAATGTACTTAATGAAGGATGTTATTTATTTGATCAAATCATATACGAAATGACGTAAAGTGATACAGAATTCGTGATCATCTAAGGTGATTTTAAACAAAAGATTTCATTCTATAGGGGTTATTAGTATTTTACTACATTACGAAAATATCGCCTAAATAAATTTTGATTACTTTATATCTATGAAGGAAGTATATATAATATCAGACGTTATGTGCCAAAGGAACACGTGGACGATGTACGCACTGAATAACGACTGGATGCCGGACGCAGAAAGTCTTTTGGGGATTTTGTTCGTTTTTCGCTTTTTAAAACACTGTTATCCATAATCACGAGAGTGTTAAAAACTGTTATCAATAAACACGAGATTGAAATTAACGCACACGGAAGATCCGGTGCAAGCAAAAGGTCATTGTTTTGTTAAGTTTGATCGAAATAAAAGTCAACACTTACGATAAGGTAAACATCAATTTATGCATAATTTTGTCTATAAAAATATCAATATAAAAACAATACCAGAACGTGAAGCTCTTTTTCAACTTGTTGCTCTGTAATGAAATCAACTGTTTATATTTTTTTATTTTGTGCATGGGAGCTATTATCTTATTGTAATAGATGGTACATGCGACAAAAATGCAGGACTGCAGTAATTTTTTAGAAAAAAAGGGGGGTATTTTGAATTATACGTATAACATGAACTTTCAAAAATGAGCAAGTGTTGAGATTTAGTTTTGTTTAGATTGTTTTACAAATTGAAGGGTTTTGAAAACCCTCTTGGTATCATCTCCTCAATATTTTTTTTAGAAAGATGGAGGTTGCATACGGGTTTTATTTGTCCCCTGCAATGGCAAAAATAGTAAAATTATTCAAGACTTTCAAAATTATGTCAATTGTATTTATAAATGATCAGGTGTATAACATAAACTGGACTCTTAAGTTCAGAAACGTCACTTGTGATGTCACTTTGACGCCATGAACGTGTTAAAATAGACATTGTTGACCAAAAATGGTCATTTTACAAATAGTTTTGAAGAAAATATATATGAGCCAAGGATTTACTCAGATAGAAATTTTACACACGGTTAACATCTTTATAAAATGCATTTTGTAGCAAAACCTCTGTTTGGGTAAATCCTTGACTCATATCTAAATATTAATGACGATCTGAAAATGAGGCTAGTTCGACAGGTTTAACAGTTTCCGCAAAATAAACGTTTGAAGCGAATATATTAGTTGGAGTAAAATACTGCCATACTGATTTTTGATGTTAAATGAACATTTGAAAGATGTTATTTGGAAGATTTATATCACTTTTGATTTTCGAATTCAAGGTGTCAAAAAGTGGTATTACCATGCCTTCTCCTTCCTAATAGTAAGACTAACCTTATCGTTAACGTGAACGGTATGATTGTCTTCCTTTGCAAAAATATGAGTGATAATAACCTAAGATTTCATTTATTTGTTCATTTAAATGAAAATTTGCATTAGTAAGTCTCATATACCTGCATCGAAATTTGATGACATATTCAAAATTCTATCCCTATTCCTATTGTGTTCTGCTATTTTACATTTCAAGATGACGGAATATACCTATACCACCTTAAGGGTCATGTTAGATATTCCATTCCCACTCTGATGAAGAGTAATGGTTAGCATATAGATATGCAGATAGGGGGGATTGAAAACATGAGAAGCAACTATCTTTATCAAAGTTAAGTTCTGTTCATACTGAAAACCAGTTAAGTAAACATTGGATGAGCAAATAGCTAGTTTTTTCCCTGTTTGTGAATATTTATTTACCATCCTTTTTGAACGTTTGAAATACAATGTTGTAAACAAGGATGAAATTCGTTAGCATATGACTCTGTCGAATGAATAAATCCGGAAGAATTAGACTGTGTGATCTGTTATGTTAACATCGTCACGTGCGTAATCAACTAATTTAACTAAAATATAATTTCATATCTAATGCAAAGAACAATTCAAAACTAGTTCTTCCCACGAAACTTGCTATATCGATTACGTCATGTCTACTGCAAAATCATGAAAAAGTACTAAAATCGAAATTATAACAGGAATTTTGTTTTGCAAACACTTTGCATGTCAATTGTAGTTCATGGTCTTTTGTCTTTCTTCCACATATAATTTTTCTACTTCTGTAGTGTCTGTTTGTGTTTATTTATCATGTTTATATCTATTACAAAATATAACCTCGTACCAAACCAAATACCATGGCAAGAACAAAATATTGACAGAAAAATGCTAGCTGTTTCCATTACTGATATTACTAAAGAGTTTTACAGAAGTAGACGTTTGCGCTTTCATTGTACATATAAAGATATTTATAAAGAGACATCTGTAACATACTGCCAATCAAAGATAACTGAACTGACAAAACTTTCATGCAAAAGTTCCAGTTATTTCAGTTCCTATTTGTCATAAAATAACATTTTGGTTGTTTTTTGCACTATTGTTGTTAAGATTGTTCCGGTCTCTATTGATTCTAATTTTTTATTGTCTAGCTTCAAGAACATTCCTGGTTTCATTTTGTGTTTAATATCTCACATCAACTAAGTATTGACGTTTTATTCCTCAGGCGTCGTTGACCAATTAAAAATTTGGTTTTTCTGTTAAATTCCTCAGACAAAAATCACCTCAGCATGAATTTGGCTTTATTATTTTCTCACCTCGCGTCTTATGATCTAAATTTTCTATATTTGTCTTTTCAAACATTCGGCGGTCCATCGGTAGACTGCTGAAAATGTCTGCAACCCACACAGGAAAACATTTTTTAAGCAGTCAAAATTTACCGCTTTCATTCTGGTCGTTCTACCATGCATAATCTATCTATTGTATTAATTGTAAATGTTATCTCGTCCTAAATATGCATGAAGTATTTGCCACTGGACGTTAAGCTAGCGACAATCAATGAATCCTCTGGTAGTGTTCCCAATAAAGGCCATCCCGAAAGTAGATAGGTTTCGATGTGACGAAATTTTAGTTTGAGTTATTCCCCTTGACCGCCATATTTAAGGGATACATTATTGATTTTTTTTATTTTTACAAACCAAATTGAAACATGTGAAACAACTAACCATGATAATACACCTTATCGCCATTTAGTTCAATACGGAAACAGTTACTTAGACAACTTCCTGTTTTGGTCAAGTGTCGCAAAAAACAAAGCTCATCGATAATGAGCTGGGTGAGGAAAACGTGTAGAAAGTCATCATTTTGTAATTTGTATAGTTTATGATCCAATTTTTTAAACACAGATTAAAGTAAGAAAAACGCTTTGTTTGAAGTGTTTACTATGTTTTAAACATAACTCTTTGAAAAATTTTATACACTGTATAAATTGGTCAGTCTTTCGTTTTCTATGTTGTGTTTTGTGTACTATTGTTATCTGTTGATCTTGTTTCTTTTTTACCCATGGCGTTGTCAGTTTATTTTCGACTTATGAGTTTGAAAGTCCTTCTGGTATATTTCGCCTCCCCTTTCTTAAACAGGGCTCCAGATAGCTTCAATTGGTTTGAAAGAGTTGTGTAATTTCAGAATTATCCTGAATGGAATAAATAGCGATAAGGTGTATAGATCCTTACTAGTTCCAAGTGATGAATCAAACAAGGCTGAAAATAATTAAAAATATTCAGAAAAAAACTTTTTCCAAAGTCTAGCAGTCAGTATAACAAGTCGAATTTGACTTATTTATGAAGGAATCTGTGTACATAGAACTCCCACATGGCGACAAAAGGGAAATAACTGTTGCTCAAATTGTGTCAATATCATAAGTGCTCATCTACATTGTTTTGACTTCCTGTTCAGCATGTTCAACTGAAACTGAGGACATTACTATTGATTAATGTATTTTATTTCTATGCAAGATATGTTTTAACAGTTCCTTTTATGTATTTGCGACAAATCGGACAATTTCTGATAGCAGGTGCGCAGTCTTTACAACACACTATATGTCCACATGGTAGAAAGGCGATTGAAGCGTCTAAATCTAGACACACTTTACATAATCTTTGTTCTCTTAACTGTCGGTTTTCTTCTAATATTTTTTCTGCTTCTGAAAAATGAAAAAAAATCATATGCACAGTTGAGACATTTGTTCATGAATTTTAAGTTTATCAAGGAAAATATATGTTTTCAACTATTGTGGTCAATTTTGCTGCACCAGATGCGCATTTCGTTAATAAAAGTCTATTCAGTGATTTTCGAGGCCAAACAATTTGAAAATCCAAAACTGAAGAGCTTATCAACCTTATATTAGCCATTATATTAATTTTTTATTGATTATTCATTCCTCGTACAAGAATATAAAGCAAAATGGGAAACATCTTCAAAGGCAAGACAGTTTTTATTTCATTTCCGTTTTAGGTTCAATTTGAAGTGTCATATACAATTATATTAGTAACGTCCATACGAATGATTGTATTAATTATCATGTTTGGCCTTCTTTTAAGGTGTATCAAATGCATTGAAGTACATGACTTTCATACGTCACAACAATACGTCACTGTTTATGGTATGCTGTGCTGTTGTTAAGGGGAGATGTCCGTTGTTATTCTGTGGTTTACATGTTGAAATGTACTATTATATTATTTATTTATGCGTTTCTCTGTGCTGAGTGTTCTTGCGTTTGTTTGTACTGCATTCATGTCAAGTAGTGTTGTCATTTTAGCGATATTTTTTTACATTGCCATATAAGCGGGAGGTTTAGCTAGCCATAAAACCAGGTTCTACCCATCATTTTTTTCTTGAAATGACCTGTACAAAGTCAGGAATATGGCAGTTGATATCAAATAGTCCGTTTCTTTGTATGTTTGCTTTTGTTTTTGTTGCACTTCAGTGTTTCTGTTGTTCCGTTGTTTTCCTCTTATAGTTGATGTGTTTCCCTCGGTTTTAGTTTGTTTTCTGTCAATCGATTTATGACTTTTGAACAGCGTTATACTACTGTTGCCTTTATTTATTCATAAACATTATTTATTACTTTTGTTTGTCAATGTAGGTACAAAGTTTGAAACTGTTTTATTTTTATTTACTTAATGATGGCGTTAAATAACTCACCATCTAGTACGGTTGGGGTACTTGACGTTGAAGAAATGTCAGTAATTGTTTCTTTTAAAGAACTAGGCGTTGCTACACTCTCAGTGCCTTGGGAAGATGTAAAAGTATCAAATCTGATTGCATCCTCACCATCAAGTAAAATTTTCAGGATATTATAAGCGGTTAATTCTGAAAAAAATACAAGAAAGTAAAAGCAATTGCACGATTGATTGATGAGTGTTAATGTTTAATGCCCATTTCATCTCGTGGCTATTTCATATGATTTGCATCACGAACCTTGGCCATTGTTATATTATAGTTCGTTTCTGTGTGTGTTACATTTTAATGTTGTGTTATTTTGTGTCGTTGTTCTCCTCTTATATTTGATGCGTTTCCCTCAGTTTTAGTTTGTAAACCGGATTTGTTTTATCTCTATCGATTGATGAGTTTCGAACAGCGGTATACTACTGTTACCTTTACTTGTACCTATTGATTATATTACTTCCTTGTAGATTAAAAGTATAAATTTTATAAAATTTACTGATATTTCAGTCTTTTTCCATCTTCAATCTAAAACTTACGTGTCTTTGAAAACTTTTGGTTGATATTAAAAAAAATGTTGTGTAATTCTAAGGAAATTGCTTAAAATTCGACCATTTACGAAACCATCAATATTTTTAAGAGTTTGGCCAAAAACTTAAGAGAACAGGCAAGATAAAAGTTATTTGAATTTTAAATTCAACTTGCAAGGTTTTTCTCTATATACGGACTATTCTTGTAACTTTATTTCTATTTTGAATCTTGGTTTTTTACGATTTTTCGTTATTCTACATAGCATTTGTATTACGCTTACACTTTCGATTTTGAACCTGAAAAGGCCGAAAGTTTCAAAGTAGATAATTTACATTTGTTAACGAACAGAAGGCAAAAACATGTACAATTCACCTATATAAATATATATTGTTGATTCGCTTTATGCATATTTGCACATTTTTTTTTTCGGAAGGGGGGGGGGGGGGGTGGTGGGGGGGGGGGGGTATTGGGCGGACATGTGTAATCATATTGTAATGACTGTCGACATGATAAGGCAATATGGCCGCTATGCAAATTAGCAAATTATACCAAATTTTGCTATATATTGTACTGGTTGAGAGGAACTAGAAGTACCCGGAGAGAATAAGAGGCCTACGTCAGGAAAACTGTCTATCCTCGTCAATTTAATTGGGAGTCAGACGCACCGGTGCCATGAGCAGGGGTATAACTCACAAGCTCATGCTATGGGGATCACTCTAAGTGAAATACAAAAACTTAGGCCCCATGCAATATCAACTTCAATAAAAATCGAGGAAATGAAATGATATAATATATATATATATACATGTATTTCATTAAGTTGAACGTTTATCTAAAATATCAAAGGCAGACACAAAGGGACAATAAACACCATACGTCGAAGAAAGACGGATAACACCCATCCCAAAGAAAAAAAAAGAACAGATAAACCACCAACAATCAACATAATGATACAAAAAGGACGATTAAGAAGCAAGCATCACACAAAAACCGGGGGTGAACACAGGTGCTCCGGGTTCTTGTTCCACCAATAATACTAATTTTGTTGGTAGTCTCACATCCGGTTGAACATGTTGAAATAGAATACCAAATACACAACAAAAAAGAAATGCTTAGTTAGAACGTTTACTATGACTGTGCTTCGGATAGTATATAAAACATCGGAATAGATTTAATGGTCGAAAGTGATTATCACACAGCCATATTAGATCTCAATCAGCTGTATTGGCTCTCTGCTACGCGTCGAGCCAATACAACTAACTTCGACCTTATCTAACTGTATTTGGATATTATACAGGATCAGTACGAAAACACCCATCTAATAATACTATACGATTAATGGTTAAATAGGTATCAAAATCAACCAGATATATGATTCTATGCTAGAAACACTGTGTACCTTGTCCCGAGTCCTTGAGTATCTGTAATGGTTTTACAACTTGTTCTTTAGAATATCCCATTTCACAAACACTTTTAACAGCAACACTATCTAGTAATGGATTTGTATAAATGTCAGTCGCAGTCTGTGTCCTCCTACCACCGCTAGCTTCATCTGAAGGTGACTGTAGGTTGTTCTCCTTAGTAGTGATTTCCTTGAATAAAACATTTCAAATAAAATAAATAAAAACATGAATATTTAAATGAAAAGACATTCTTAAGATGCGCTGTTTTTTAAAAGCTGTCTGGTCCATTCATAAAAACAAAGCAATAGAAAGCAAAAAAAAAAGAGAACTAAAACAGAAAGCAAAAAAAAAAAGAGAACTAAAACATCATTTCTGCATTAATTAGCGTTCATCACATATATTATTGCATTCAAATCATACGTATTGTGTACATAGATCTATTTACGTTAAGCTCTCACAAAAAATAACTTGTTTTTCTCGTGGAGCAGACACTGCTTACCCATCCAGAACACCTGACTTTAGCTTGGTTTTCGGTGTTGTGTTTAGTTCCGTCTTTAGTTTTCAATGTGACGTGTTCTTTCTTATATTTTGGCAGGGTATTGTCTGTTGTTATTAAACTTAAGAATTCCTTTCTAAGTATTTGTATCTGGAGGTTTAGATAGCTATCAAACCAGGTTTAACACGCTATTTTTCGACGGAAGATGTCTGTACCGAGTCCGGAATATGACAATCGTGGTTTCCACTCCTTCCGTTTGATTTTGTCAGTTTTCATGGACTTCTCTTTTTATATTTTATCTTGACGTTCTGTATTTTTTATACTATTTTCCCAAATTTCCTTGTTTTGTTATTCACTTTATTTTATGCAATGCTAGTCGATAAATATACTTATTAATAATTACCAATTGTTGTTTCCGTCTCTGAATGTCATAAACAAATACATCGCCTTTGTTTTGTTTCAAAAAAGAGCATTGTGGAAACCAACGTGCATGCTCAACCCAAGGATCGTCACCAAGCTCCCAGTTTCGAAGTCCACCTCCACAGAAGAAACACCGCGTATAATCATGGTGACCTGCAAAAAAGAAACCAGCCACAGCCATCTCACGTGGTGTTTGGTCAAGATACGATGGCCATCCTTGATATGAGCTAATTCGAACTTGAAGGGAAGCATAATCTGGATACTTTACCTTGTCAATGTTAATACCAAGCGATGCATAATCGTGTTGACATTCATTCGTCCTTGAATTATTTTTACTATCGTCACCAGTTTCTCCTGTTATGTCACTGGTTGGGATATTTCTAGCCGCATTTTCGGTTGGAGCCTGAGAAATTGGAACACTTGTTGCATTATCTGTCGTGATCTGGTGACCAGTGTATGCATCTCTTGATGAAGATGTTGTACTTTCACTTTGTTCAAGTTTTTTATCATTAACACCGACGTTCATAGATGTAGTCGCATCATATGAAGGTGTACTTACTAAATAACTATTACCCGCATACTGAGGTATTTCACAACCAAAACTGTTCACCAGTGTACAAGATGGTGATATGCTTTTGTGAATTGCTGTAGGATCATCTCCCGATTTCCATTGGTCGTAAGTTGTACCACACGAATAACATTTTGTTGCACAGCCCTTTCCAGTGTAGAAAAAACCAGCTTTTGCTAAACGTGTCATGCTGATATCTATTTGCCGTGGGAATGTACTTAAAGAGGAAAATCTCATCATTTCATTTGACATGGATCTTGATAAAGGATAAAGATAATGTGTATGATACACGGAGTCTCAATAAATCTCCTAACTCTTTTCTTTGTATTCCTTCTGCATTAACCATTTTCGTATCATATTTTTTTCCTTGTAAATGTATACTTTCTGGATCATGCATTCGGATAAAACTTTCATCGTCGGTCGTCACATTTCCAAGTTTTAGATAAGCCGCTTTTCTATTTTCCTTATGTTCCACTATTCCAACACTATCAAAATTATCTGGTATGTTCAAATTTGTTTTGAATAATAATTTGCATTCTGATATACCCTCTGAAAGGCATTGTTCTTCTGACGAACATAAACTTAACGAGTCATCTCGCTTAAGTCTTTCTTTATTTGCAATCTTTCTAATTAATGACATGAATTGTATCTGCTTCTTTCCTTTGATCGACTCGTGAAGTGAAGAAGGTTCCTTCGAAAGAGTTTCCATGAATTCTCGTGTGGATGCAAAAGTTTTAGCCTTCATATTGACGATATCCTGCAAAATCAAATTTATTAAATCATTATCTTGTTGAGGAGTTGTTTTAGAATAATATCTATCTGGTGGGACGACTTTTCCGATGTAATCGATATGGTGATAAATGTTGTAGTAGTGCTACATATTTTCATGTTGGTAAAAACATACCAAGATACCAGGCTAAATTCTGTACGTCAGAGACGGGAGTATCGTCTACAAAAGACTCATCGTTGCTCTCGATTTAAAATAGTCTGAAGACCAAATCGACTAGAAAATTGAAAAGCATTTAAAAGAAAACAATCCACAAAGTTGCTTAGGCCATCATGTGTTGTTTGCTGAATTCCGAAATTGATACATGTTTAAAAAAAATAAAAAAACCTTTACTGGTACCGACATCTTTTCAGTAGAACAGGATAAAAAGGGCTCCTGATTTCATGAAGTAGTTGCATATTTGCCTAATTGAATTTAAATAAGCATTTCATTTTCTTTTATCTATTCAATAATTTTTCTTTAGAAATCTGTTCCTCCTTTTTTTCAACAAGGAGGTCAGAGCTTCTTTAAATGAACTTTTATTAGTGGAAAAGTTAAGATAGTGACTGTCATATAAATCTAATGGCAAAAAAAAAAACACACACAAAGAAATGTCCAAATCACAAGTAATTGCTAATAATGAGTTTGTATCTTTCTTAAAAAAAAACTTAAATATTAAAAACGACAGGAACTTTAACAAATATCATAATAAAATATCGTAAATTGATTAAAAAATCATATACAGGTAACAAATAAAAACTGAGTGAATTGCATAAACTCCAAAATGTATTTGTTAAACATCGTTCTGCAAGACGTTTTGAATGTTATTCCCCATCAATTGAAAAATCTATGACAACATTAATTTATTTTAAGGAATATATTCACATCAATTAAAAATTGACTTAGATAGGAAGTAAATCAACAAATCTGTAAAAAATGAAAGAGGTAGGTATAAATCCTCCTATACTTTTTGCACTCTCTGATCCAGAGTATGAATTTGTTTTTAAACCTTCTGATATATTAGAAAAAAGAGTCTACATGGTAATCACACAAAAAAGGATCTTTAACCAAAACCGTTCTTTTCTATTTGAAACACAATTCATAGCTTTACTTTCCACACTTTTTGGGTTTTGGTGAAGGGTGTCCTTCTTATACAGTTGTTTGGAGTAAATACTTCAAATTTACCAGAATGTTTTAAAATTGCTGTTTCGAGCCATCTTTTCGCATTTTTTATTTGGTCACATGTACAGAAATGCACCAAAAAGATGTCAATACCTTTCATTATACATTTGAATCTATGAATCAGTTAATTTTAGAAAAGATTGACGGACTGTTAGAAATTGCCACTGGTGTTAAATAATTCAGATGAAATTGGTCCTACCACTTACTTTTTTGCAGTTATTTATGAGTTTATTCCTCAGAAAACAAGAAATGATTATTGAATGTAATTGTACCTTAATATAATCGATGTCTTCCGTAGAATAACTTAAAATAATATTCGGAATTGTTTAAATAAAGACACGTATGACGTTTATGATAATCATGAGCTAATAATCATCTGCCAAATAGATAGTGACATAATAGCAATGGTTAGTTTCCACTACACATCATCGTTCTATTATTAGCAAAGGTCAATAAGGAAACGAAGTAAAATATTGAAATATTTTGAAAATATCATAATAAAAATAAAGAATTACAAAAGGTTTACTCTACGAAATTACAATTATAAAATTAACACAATTTGAAACACTTATTACTGACAAGATTGCCTTCGATCTAACGACAGTCTAATTATTTTCAATTTGAAGTTTCTTTCATTCATAACTTTAATTTGAAATATACGTTGTTACACATCCTGGTGACCAAAAATAGATATAATACAATACATCATAAATAATCATAAGCAAAGATCAATGAAAATTACCTTCAAAAGTATCTTCAAGTTATCAATTTGATTTTGTAAGGGTTAGACGTTTTATTTATGATAAAGAATACAAAAAGAAATGATTTGCCTCGTCATAGAGAATGTTCTAGTGAACATAAATCATATTTATCGACGTGTAATAGACGAACTGTCATAAGGTATATATAGAATAGGTAAAAATAAATAAATCTCGGCATTTGTCCAAGTTTAAATCGAGATTTCAATTCGGGGATACATTAATGTGACACAACTAGACGACATAAGGACAAAAAAATAAATGAAAGTATATGTCACTCTCTGAAATGTGCCCCTCCCCTCAGACGTGTTTTTTCGTGTCATTGTATGTCTAAAAATGATTTAGGTATTTAGATTTGAGATTTTGAATGAAGCTAAACAAGGTTGTTGCATTGTTTAAACAACAAAAGTTACTTTTTTTGTAAAGTGTAGTATACAAAGTTTGAGACAACCAAGTATTAAAAGGGAGATACAAGTTGGAAATTGAATGAACTTCAAAAAGAGTGTAAGCAAGTGCATCAACAAGTTGGCTATCTACTTATAAGTGGGATAATTGCCACCTACAGGAAGATATTTCAGTACTGATCTGACAGCAAAAGAATAAAACTTGATGAATAATATTTCGGTATCTTATCCATTACTTCGATCAGTCTTCCACACCAAATTCCATTGTCTATCAAAATAAAATCCTTCACTATCGTAGCCACTGCTGAACATAAACTTATTTATAATAAGATGTGTGCATTAGTCAACCCTATTATGTTTAGTGTACTCGTTGATAGCTTTAAATACGCGTTCTTTTGAAGGACCTATAAAGTATTCCGTAATCAAGGGTTGAAAATCTTTAATCAGATTGGATTCCCTAAATTTCCAAGTTATTACAAAAATAAAGGATATGAAGTGAAACGTCACAGAAAACAGTTTAACGCTAAACGTTGTTAATAGTTTTAGGAAAGAAATAGTTGAGACACGTTTGTGCGAGAAAATGATCGCACATGTTGGGGAGGGGGTATAAAATTGGACATGTTTGGGCGATATGTCAATTAGCGTTTGATCGAAATGGAATGTTACGGCAAGATGATCACGTTATACTCATTCTGATATCGCCTATCCATTTGTGTGTAATGGTTGAGGGTTTTTAATCTTGAATCACGTTTATAAGGGGTATCCTTAGATATTTAAAAAGGGCCATTTTGTACTATAATTTTAGAAATACATGGGGTCGATATTTAGACCTTTACTCAAAATTTCTGTTTCTTTTATATTTCTATCCTTCGGACATATATGTACATACCTAGCGTTTTTTGTTTCAAAAGATAAACACAAGCGGGGTTTTGTAAAGACATTTGAAAAATCTGCCTCATACAAGTATACTCTAAATTTGTGTATCTATTCTTTTGGAAATAATTGATTTTTATCAAAGTGTCATGATTTTATATTTTTGTTGTATTTTTGTTTTATTTAAAAAGAAATTCATCGGTGATTTTTTCATAAAAATTGGTGCAAAGAATCTTCATACAAAATCAAACCAAATGGCATTTTAGAAAAGTGGGGTCAATGTACTCGTTTTCAAGGTAATGATAAAAATCGGTCGAAAAATGCATCTTTTCCCGATATGTCACAGTTTGACGTAGCGAAAAATAACATTTTACAATAGCAACGTCATAACCTCCCCCTATAACTGTATCGTATGCCCTTTAATAGACAACAAAACGAGGCGGACGACACCAAGAGGACAACCAAAACTCATAAGTCCATTAAAACAGAAAACACAAAGGTCAAAAGGTCAATATAAACAGAAAACACCAAAGTCAAAAAGTCAATTTAAACAAAAATCACCAAGGTCAAAAAGTCAATTTAAACAGAAAACACCAAGGTCAAAAAGTCAATTAAAACAGACAACACCAAGGTAAAAAAAAAACAAGGAAAAGACAAACAAAATTAAATTGGCATAAATATGCATCTGACTTCTTATTTTTTACCTTTTGCTCAATCATTTGGCGTATACATATCATAATTAGAATGCTTTGGTCATGTTCTCACTTTACAGACTTCATTAACATTGGTGTGCTCCTTAATCAAAACCTTCTCCTAAAGAGTTATGAAGATGTACGGCTGAAATCGATACTACATAAGTATTCTAGTCACCATCACGAATTGGTTGAATGATACAATGCGTCTGTGTCCCAATTAACTAGGTTTTCGAGGTCTTAGATCTTTAGATACTAGTACCAGAAAAATAGCCTGTAATTTTACGGATTGTTTTTAATCCCGATTACGACATTTTGAATGGATGTGGATTCGAATGCTTGGTGATGCATAGCAGGAGACGCTTATCCTGTAGACGCAACCGGTCTATCTCCTTTTTGAAGTTCATGCGATTCTATTAGGTTTTGTTTGGTACCCAGGTTTTTATCTTCTGAATCAGTTTATGAGATTGGAATTATATACAACTGTCATACAAGTGAGAAGTTTGGCTAGCTATAACACCAGTTAAATCAACCATTTTCTACATAAGAAAATGCCTGTACAAGGTCAGGAATTTGACAGTTCTTTTCCATTCGTTTGATGTGTTTAAG